TTTGGGGCCTTAGGCCGGTCATCGTGGGGTTGGGCAGATTTCTGCGCCGGGTAGGCTGAGTCCCAACTGAGTGCACACTTCCAGTGCAAGCCCTAATTAAGCTGCGTGCACCACTGAAAGCAAGCAAATGGCAAATGCACATACATATATGTGTATATACACATACATATATACATACATACATACATACATACATACATACATACATACATACATACATACATACCTACGTACGTACATACATACGTACGTACATACATACATACATACATACATACATACATATTTGTTTAATGTGCGCGCACTTGCATTGTCTACGGCATCGGGTTCGTCGATGTCGCTATTTATTTGTTGGTTTGCTTGTTTACTTATGCTTTTTCTTCGCTGGCTTACATACAGACGTACCTGTTGCCATTATCGGCATGGCCTGATTTGCGGCGGAGGGTTCGTAAGACCGGATGCTCCCCAACGTTGGCGAAGACCTGCGAGCTGGGTAACGCGAACTTCTAATATTGGGGCCTGAAGAGAATAGAAGAGGTTTTGGAGCAAACTACATTGTAACTGTAATAGGAAGCCTAGAAAATGTTATTGGTAATGATTCCGGTTATTCTATATTGGGAGGTTGAGGTTTGGAGGTTTAGCTAGGGTTGGGGCCCTACAGCGCTGGAATCAGGCTTGGGCTTGACGGTCTCGGGGTTGGCTGGGGGTTGAGAGTTTAGGATTGAGGGCGCAAGGTTGAGAACTGAAGGTTTAAGCTCTAGTTTATCGTTTGAGAGTTCAGAGTTGGACCAATAATGAGAAGCGCAACATCGGAAATAGTAAAGCCGGCCGTTGAAAGATTCACCGGGCTCTTTAGTTCGGAATGCCACATGCAGCAAAAGCTGAAACCCATGCTTCCTCCTTATACCAAAGAGAAAGCTTTTCATAGACTGCGTGGTTGTGATGCACTCCTCTTTGCAGGTAGGACCATCACAACAGCATTATTGTTAAGGGGGCCAGACCTCTGAGCCCACTGGGCAGGTCTCACATTCTCCCAACCACTGCCGACACAGCTCAGGGGAAGCAGCATACCAGGTACAAGTGGGGAGAAGGATAGCACTGCAAGCAAGCCATAAGCAAGAGCAAGCGGAACAATCACCAGGACTAAGACAAGAAAGCTATGAAGAACGCCAGAACGACGTTGAGGAACAGCAACAACAAGAGGGACGGAATCTATGTGGAAACGACAGAAACCCTCATGGATATTATAACGGTCATACCATAACAATTAGGACATGGTTTTGGGGAGTTTTTTCTAGTATAGCAAAAGAACTCTAACGAATAGTAGCGGTAGGCCTAGACCCAAATTGCTGAACACTAAACCCCAAACCCTAAACCGAATGATTCAGAGAGGACTGCGGGCGTGGCCAGCGAGAAGAGGATCGTCAAAAAGGCCGTGAGCACAAACCGCAGCCTCGTGGGGGCTTGGGGGCTTAGGGTTTAGGGGCTTAGGGAGTTTAGTGAAGTTTAGGGCTTTAGGGGTTTAGGGCTTGAGGGTTTAAGGCAGCAAAGAAGGCAGCAGAATGCCGGGATGAGGATTGAGGACCCCAGGCCCGAAGCGCTTGCATATAGGGGCCTCGATAATCAGAATAGGGGATGAGGGCATGTTATCATATAGTCATATAGTCATAACAAATAAACGCTTCGGAAAATATACTACATATTTGGGCTTCCGTGTTCAACCCTAGACACGAAGAACTGAATTCTAGCATGAAGGTCCTCTGGCTCAGGAGTCAACCTTATGTTCTGATCAGCGTGCCAACTCAATGCTGTAGGCCTGCGATGCATAGGTGTAGGGTTCCGGACGAAGCACTGCTGCCGTGCAAAATCTACTAGACTAGACTAGACAATCAAGCGATTCCCGGTTTAGAATGAACCAGCTGGTCTACTTCTTGAGGCTTTTCCGTTTAGGACCAAGAGCACAGCGCTCAGAACTCGAAGACCCTGAGCTTTACAATCGAACCCAACCCACAAGAGAAACAGCGCAGCTTAAACCGCAACCAAACCCCAACCATAAAACCTTCACACCCATACATTGCGACACCGACACCACAGCTCAACCCTAACCTACGAAACCTTCAGCTCTGGGGCACGCGGCTTGAGCGACGCGCTGTCGCGCCTCGTTGGGATTTTGCATGGGAGTTTCAGTGATGAGAGCTTCGAGTTCGAAATTGCCAATTCGACGGCATCGTTAGGGTTTAGACTTTAGGGCTCTAGGGCTTCTGCATATGGTGTAGTCAACATTTAGGGTTGGGGCTGTTAGGCTTCGGGGTTCGGGGTCGAGGGTCAAGAAGCCTTTCTTTCTCGGTGCTCTCCAAGAAAACGCATCCCAGCCCTCCACCCTCCAGCCTGAGGTTTCGCCACTCCCTCTGCGTCAGGCACCAGACCTGATACTCCAAGGTGGGGAATCGAGCAAAGCAGAAGTATGCAGCCCCTCGGATCGCAGGTATAAGAGCCTCAATTCCAGAATGAACCTAAGCCCTTCTTGAAGTAGCTTGTGTTGATCATGGTAAACCTGGTAAACATAATGACGGCAACAGAAGGCTCTGCGCCCAGAGCCCTCAGCCTCAAATCCTCGGCCCTGGGCCCCCAAACCCCCCAAGCAACACGAACCACCGAGGGAACCACCAACCTTGTAAGCCAACCAACCTCGTAGGCCAGAAACCCCAAATCCTCCCGCACTCCACGTCCCAAAGAGGCCCCCCAAAGCTGAACCCGAGGGCTTAGGGTTGAGGATGCCTCCCACCATGCAGACATGCATGTAACACCCGCGCGGTAACCCCCAAAAAAGCAAAAGTAAAGAGTGCTTACAGAACCCTATAATAGCACCATATGATAGCACCCTAAACCGTTCAAAACACCGTGAATCCCGATGAAACTGACTCGATGAGACCCTATAAAAGGCTGTAAACCTGTATGTCCCATAACACCCTCTCGGTAAAGCTATATAACTTTTCGAACGCCCGAAATCCAAAACCCTGCCACCTGCAGGCCGAAGCCCTTGCGCATTTTCGAGGGTTCTAGCCTGGACGGCGCATACCGGATGAACGATTTCCAAGACCACAGTGGCTTCCAGTTGGATTTCACATTCCATCGAACACTTGCCTCTGTATTCGTTTCGAGTCCATGGCGTACCTTGTCTCACCCCTGACGGGTACATGGGAGTTTGCAATGGGATACCGTTGCAGGGAGAGGAGGAGGTGTCGACAACCCGGAACCCGGACACGTATAAGGGAGTTATGAAGTTGAAGGCTGGGAGGCTTGAATGGATTTGAAGTTTTTGTTGTGGTGTGGAAGGCATGTTGGGGAATTTAGAGGGTTGAGGGGTTGTGCTGTTCCGGGTGATAGGATGTCTTACAGCTCTAGGCTACGGGGTGTTGGGTGTGCGGCTTTGGTTTAGGGTTTGGGCTTCAGGGATTAAACTGGGGGGGGGGGGGGGGNNTCTGCGGGGTCTCTTCGCCAGAGAGGCAGATTTACAACTTAAATGTTGGGGGGACATAGGGTTTTGGGTGCTTTGCAAATCACAGCATAGCTCAGGTTTTCATGTTATTGATGAGTCTGTGCGGGGGTGTACAGAGTCCTGAAACTAGCGGTACAACTGAAACTGTAGAGGTCCCTGGGTTCATACTTGCAGGATCAAGGGACTTAGTTTTGGGGTATACGTCGAGCTACAGGATAAATGAGTATCAGCTGCCTGGGTTCTGCCCCTTCTTTGGGTCCCTAAACCCTAAACCATAAACCCTAAACCCTAAACCCTAAACCCTAAACCCTCCCTTTATTGGGTTTGGGTTTCGGGATGGCGAAC